TTTTACTTCTTTTAAAAGATCAAGTTTCAAAGAGGGAAAGGCAGTGGGTAAGATATATAAACTATTATGTAAAGTAAGTAGCCTAAGAGAAATTGTGTGGAATTCTCTGCTTTTCTGTTATCTGGCTTTAGGATAACACATCTTTATGTCTTTGTTTTAGTTTTTGAGAAAAGAACAAAAAAAAAATGCATGGATGACCAGCTATCTTTAACGCTTTTCAGACTTAATGTGTTCTTGTCTTTATTTTTCTTTCAAAGTGACAGATTCTTTGGCCCAGTCTGTAGTACAGCATTTAAGATGGATAATGCAGAAGGATCTTCTCGGCCAGGACGTCTTTCTTATTGGACCTCCTGGGCCCTTGCGACGGTCCATTGCCATGCAGTATCTGGTATGTATGTTGATTTAAGTTCTTGGAGAAAGAGTCATTAGTGTCAGTTAGATATTCTACAAACCAAACTGAGGAAAGTATTACTGTAAAATTTCACAGCAAGCAACCTGAGGAGGTAAATAAGTTTTTCCATAAACGCTCTTTCCAGAGTTCATTTTGTTTTACATGAATAAAAAGTGCAGACATTTTAATACGTTCTTCTGCTTAAACTCCAGGGAAAAAGAAAGTTGGAAGACTGTGTTACCATATGCTATCACAAATGGAGAAACAGTTTGTTCTAGGCATTATGTATGTTGGAAGATTAAGATATCTGCCTACTGTTACAGACAACAAATCGTTTTTGCTTCTTTTTATAGAAAAAGCCATGAAATACAGGATTTGGGAAAGAAGTTTCTAAATAACATTTGAGAACAGTTATCATGAGTGATCAGAAAGTTGGAATGTGCGTGTGATCCACACTTGGAATGTGGGAAGAAGAACTTGCCTACATCCATCTGCATGAACCATGGCAGCACTGTGTGCAAGATTTTACATTAAAGTCATTTGTGGTTTTAAATGATTGGGATGTGGGGTGGGTGGCTGCTCCAAAAGAAAATGTGCATAGGGCTTTGTCTGCCATGAATTCTACCCAAGATCAGGTTGTGCAGAAGGATCACAAATGGTGGTGTATAACAATTGTCATGAAGATCAGCCATTTCTTTTCAAATCAAAAGACAGGAATTCAAAGACTGGCTCTCAGAGGTAAAGCAAGCAGGAGAAAGCTGTATGATTTTGAATTTTGGAAAGGAGAAAAAAGATTTCTTGCTCTAATAGACCAGATATGCTACTTGGTAGCTCAATGCATTCCTTAGAAGAGATGAGTTTGGTATAACCTAAAAAGAGGAGACACCTGATAGGCATGGGACATAGGCTGTATCCTTGTTTATACCACAGTGTGTCTACACCTGAGCTTTATTAAAAGACTGCTGCTTACTGTTTCAGTGCTGTATAGGATAATTGCATGAGGACTGATCTTTGCATGTGAGGTACTACCTGCTGTGGTCCCTTTATTGAAACAGTGTGGCCTGGAGAACTTCTATCTGCTGTTGCTACTACACAAGGCTAATTATTAAAGAAAACTCTCCTGTGTTCTTCCCTTTGTTCTTTTTTCTACTAGTCATACTAAAACAAGATTATACCTACATATATCATAGAGAAACTGGTGGCTTTTTAAGCCAGCTAGATACAGAAAAGACGAAGAGGAAGTACTTCTCATGTTTTGTTTTGTTTTGTTTTTTAATAACTTTGTTTCATTTATTAATTTTTTATTTTGCCAAACATCTAAAATCTCTAAAGAGAGACCTCATAATTTTCCATGAGTGATAAGGGCTAGGAGTAGCTTGTTCAGCATCAATCTGTTTCCTAGCAGAATGTGTAATATCTCAGATAAAGAAGTAGCAGGAGCATCAGGTATAGGTACTTTTTTTTTTTCTTTACGATGGAAATTTCTAAGTAGAACTCCTACTTAATTAAAAAAAAAAAAACAAACCCTAAAGATTTTTCTTTTTGAAATAGTCTATAATTTAGAAGTAAACTGCAACTTCTGTTATTAAGGGCAGAGGTGGTGAGAAAAATATAGTTCATCAGTATATTTACAAAGTATGTGCAGGTAATAATCACAGCTGTGTCACAGTGTGTTACTCAGCAGTGACAGAATTGAAGCTTTCAAATAATTTATGGAAAACTTGGATTTCTATCTGTGATTTGTGGATGTTGATTGTTTCTTGGTGTCCAGAGCCAGAAAATTAGCCATAAAGAAGACTTTATGGATGCTCAGTTGAACATCTGTGTAGCTGGTTATGTTTTTAGAATAGATTTGGGGAAAATAAAACTTTATTGAGCAGAATTTCAAACCATTTTGTTTGAGGCAGAACACAGTGTAAATGTTTTAAAAATAAGATATATTAGATCTGAAAGTTATTTCAGATCACTGTGCTGTTGTCTGGAGCTCTTTTGTACAATTACACCATCGGACTTAATGTTAAAAGTTCACTTACTGGAGTTGTGGTTTTATTTTTGTAATAACCTCAGTTTGTTGTCCACAGGAACTGACAAAGAGAGAGGTTGAATATATTGCTCTATCAAGGGACACCACTGAGACAGACCTCAAACAGCGACGAGAGATCCGAGATGGCAGTGCTTTTTATCTTGATCAGGCAAGTTACAGTCACACATCTGTTTACAACTGCTTTGAAGAAAATCATTGTTTAAATGATGAAAACTTGATATGTGGCATACAGAATGACTGGTATGTTTCCAGTGGTTAGAAAATTTCATAAAACACTCCTGATTTTGGTATTACTGAAAATATTAGCTTTTCCCAAATCCAAGATTGCTCCCTCTATTACAAGTACCATAGGGTTTTACCCTTTTATTTAGACTCAATTAGGGAGACAATTTATTATGTTTATTATAATGATGAGAAGTGAAATTCATTCAGTGCAGGTAGACTGTAGTTTCACAAGCACTTCTCTAGATATTGCTCTTGCCTAACCACTGTAGCACTTTAGATGGATTTTCGAAATGAGTCCTTTGATCTAATGTCATTGAAAAAGAGTCTAGTTCATTTATGTTAGTACTGCTCTCTGTATTTAAACCCAAGCCCAGTAAATGGAGACAACTGGGAGATTTTGTTCAGAAGATCACTTCTGATCAGAATTAAAATGATCTAAACACTCCTGTCATCAGTACTTTCCCAACACATTAGTCCTTTAAGTAAAACTGTAGAGTGACTTAAGTTAGGAAAAATTTCTTTATAAGGTATCAAAGACATGTTCACAGGTAAAATATACACTTCGTTTAGAATGTCTGTTTTAATTTGTATACAAGTTAGATGCCTAAATAAATAGAGTGGGTCAGTTTCTCTGATGTAGTATGAATTTAAATGTGTTATCTAAAGCAGTTTTCAGTTGTTAGTATGATATAGGTTAATGATAGCACCATCCTATGAGTAATTTGTGGGTGGAAAATAGAATGGGAACAGGAGAGGAAAGAAAGCCTAAAAGTTTTGTTCTGTACATTAAAGAAATAATTTACTATTTTTAAAATAAGAAAAAAAAAATACAATTAATCTCTTTTTCAGCACTACCAACCTTCAAAATATATTTTCTTGAAATCATGGTAAACGATTCTGGGTGATAGATGATCCAAGTAACCTTTTTTAAGTTACTTCTCAGACTTGAAATTATTTACTGGTTATCCATAAATATGAGAGTTGCACAATATGTGATAATTTAAAGGATAAATCCTATGTGTATTATGACTTCTCATTTACCAGAGGATGAAAGCATCTGTGCAGGCTATAGAGCTGACTTATTAACTCACGAGCTCCATTGCTGACTGTTGTTATAGACGGTCTTGTCCTTGCGCTTACTGCAGAGTAGTTAAATTCTCTCAGTGTAGAAGCATTAGTTAATTAACATTTACAAAACCGAAGTATTAGGGACTGTATGAATCTCAGCAAGATGTGAGAATAATCTGTTAATTGTATTTGTGTGAAGACTGTGATCCCAGTAGAAATACGAAGCAGCTTGCTTCACTTTGCACAAGCTATTTTGAATGATCATGCTTCAGTACAAACATTCTGTGAAGATTACCTTTCTAAGGTAAAGGTTTAAGGTTACCTACCTTCTTCCATCTGTTGGAAATTTTCAGTTGAAAGGCTTTTACCAGAGTCCAACATAGCAGTATTTCAGACCAGCGTTTTCCTTTAGCAAGATATTCGGGTGAATCATATTCAAGTTGACTGGGAATGATGATATTCAAGTTTGTGGGAATGATGATAAAACAAATAACTGCTATTTAGATGTGTACTGAAAACATGAAAGATGAACCTGTTAGATAGTAATGTTCTACCCAAAGTTTTCTTGCCCTGTGTTTTAATTATGGACACTTAAAGTATGATAGATAGCTACATTTAGAACCATCTGAGATCTAGTTGTATTTGGTAATAAAAGAAATGAAGTTTTACAGGTTACACAGAAGTTTGAATTAGGTTGCTCAGTAATTCTAATGTTTTCAGAAGGGCACATCAGTGCAAAACGTTGCAAAAGCTAGATTCTTCTTTAAACTACAGACTATGAACTGCTTCAAGACAGAGAAGGCAACAGTAGGTAGCCTTAAGAAAATATTTCTGGAAAAGCTTGGGTTGCTTCCATTGCCATTGGTGAGCTAAGAAAAGATGGACTTATATGAGAAACTGAAGATATAAGCTATACTTTTCAGATTTATACACTATTTCCTGTTCATGAACTATACAGAAGACAGCAAAGCTCACAAGTCTTGTGACAGAACATCCACTGCGTGAATTTTGTGGGTCAAATAAAGCTTACCTGTCAGTTGTCTAGGAGGCTCTTTGCAAGTCACAATATAATAATGTAGTTCTCTAACACCTTGAATGATAGTATACTGTGATGACAACTGGCATCTTGTTAGCAGAAATAAATTTCATGTAATCGATCATCAGGTTTGCAAAGTTGTCTCTCAGTGATTGTTAATGTGTTATAGCTGCTTATAGCTCTATATTTAATAATGAGAAAATAAATACTGTAAGTGGGTATCTCAGTATCTCAAATATTTCAAAACGTCTGATTTATTTTAAGAAGTTGCTGAGTATGATGGCAGATAGTTATTTTACAGACATGGGAGAAGGTAACTGGTAAGCATTGACTGAAGTTCTGCGTTGTCATGTAAATTGAAAGGTCAGCATATGTCTCAACAAATTCTCATTTCTCAATGCTAGGGTGAATCAAATGCGAGGAGACGTAGAGTTATAAAGTAAGAAGAGAGACCTGATGAGGAAAAAAATTGAAACATTTTAAAATCAGGAATAGGGAAAACAAAATAGGAACCATTAATATAAAGGTAAACCTTGAATTATCAAATAAATTCCCAGTTACAATTGTGTAAAACAAAGGACTTATAATGACCCTGTGGTGAATTATTTGTTTTCATTCAAGTACTGGCAGCAGAAACTTGTTTTCTTGTCTTTACCTTGGGCCATTAACTTTGGTTTTCAGCTGTTAATTGACAGAAGTTTCAGAAGTGTCATCACTGAAATTACTGAAACAATTAAGTAACATCTTGGATCTTTTTCTGTAACTTATTGCATGGGTTAATTATGTTATGCATTAAGTGGCTAGTTAGATTTACTTTTTATTACATAGATATTTAAATGGAAAATTCAGCTATTATTGATTGAAGAGCCAATCTTGCAGCATCTTTCTGTTTCTTTAAATCTTTGTATCTGAGCCACTTAACTGAACCAATATTGAGATTCTTATTTCAGCCTATATCCTGTTTTCAAAAATTATGTAGTTAGATGTAGTTTTTTTGATCCTTTTGCCATTTCTGATGCAATTTTTCTTTAAATCATGTGCATGCCTCTGATCCAAATTTTTATTACTAAAGCCTCCTATGCTTTTTAATTGTTACAGCTAAGGAAATCCTACATTAAAGTTATGTAGTGTGTACAATTGGGAGAGCACCTAAGCTGATTTCTGGTTAAGAGGTGTATCACTCCTGTGTTGCATGGAGCGCGTGGTTTTGTTACCATTGCATCTTCCAGGTTTAGTATTAAATTGAAACACTCTTCCCAAACACAGAACTCTTGATTATGCAAACAATCTTTTCCCTTTAGCATAGTCAAACTAACTGAGGATGGAATAAATAGAGCAATATTATATGGGCTTATGCTGAGAAACTACAACTATAAGTTTTGAATATTTGCTAATTAAGCTGTGGGTGGATGAGTATGTAAATCATAGCTATATCTGTGTATGCAAAAAGTTAGTATTAGTGTATCTTTGAATTGTGTGAATCATAGAATCATAGAATGGCTTGAGTTGGAAGGGACCTCAAGGATCATCAAGTTCCAACCACCCCACTGCAGGCAGGGTTGCCAACCTCCACATTTAATACTAGACCAGGCTGCCCAGAGTCCCATCCAACCTGGCCTATTATTCAACCTCTAGGAATGGGGCATCCACAACCTCTCTGGACAGCCTGTTCCAGCACCTCACCATTCTCATAGTAAAGAACTTCCCCTTGATATCCAGCCTAAAACTTCCCTCCTTCAATTTAAAACCATTTCCCCTTGTCCTGCTGTTATCTACCCTTGTAAAGAGTTGGCTCCCCTCCTGTTTATAGGCTCCCCTTAGGTACTGGAAGGCTGCAAAGAGGTCTCTTCTCCAACCTGAATAAACCCAGCTTCCTCAGCCTGTCTTGTAGGGGAGGTACTCCATTCCTCTAATATCTTTGTGGCCCTCCTCTGGGCCCTCTCTAACAGTTTCAGTGCTCCATGTGAGCATGCTTGTTTTAACAGAATGTCTTTGATGGTGCAGTTAGGAATACATAGATTATGCAATGATAAAATTTTAAATTGTTTGTCAAGGTAACAGAAAAATGATCTGCTCTGGTTTGAATGACTTCATGTAGTAATCAGTTGAACTTCAAGAGTGATGAAATGACAGCTTAAACTGTCCTGTCTGTAAAACAAATGTGACACAAAACCCCCAAGCAGCACAGCACTACACAGAATTATGTTTATTTTCTTTTATTCAAAAGAGATCAGGAAGTTTTTTTCTAAGTGAAGATGTGAGATTAATTGAATAAAATACTCATTTAAGCCTGTGTATATGTGTATATATATAAATCAGTACATATATACCACAAATACGCTAGCAAAGAGGTGAGCAAGAATAATTCAGCTGTTAAAAAAAATATGCAGTCAATGCAAACTGTGTAGTTCTGTGATTTATTATAACTATGTTGGAGGACACAGTAAGTTTTTGATGATTTGGTAAGTTAGCCACAACAAAGGCATCATCAAGATAGTGTGATGTATTTTAATGACTGTTCCACACTGCAATATCTGTGTATTGGTATAGGCAGCTAGATAGGAAAGTCTGTAGAAAGCAGAGGTGTGCTGTGCAGTGCTCCAGAAGTACAAAAGTGAACTATTGATTTTCTGGCTCTGCCTAACATTGCACAGAAAGAAGAGTGCTATGTGGAAATAGGTAAAAAACAGTAGGTAAAAATAGCAGTGAAGTTAATCTTCGCTGACATCAATACAGTATTTCTTGTGTATTAAGAAAAATGTATGATAACCACCTCTGTATAATCTCTCTTAACTCTTTTTATTTTAATCCTTTACAGTACTGCTTTTATGCTCCTAAAATTGTCATTGTCTAACTGGGCTTATTAAGGTCTGGTATCCTGATTTGATGTAGAAGACACATGAGATGAGTGGCTGTGATATAATGAGAGGAATACTAGTACTGCAAATTTATAATTCCTTATAGAATAAAATTAAACTGATTTCAACTGATCCAGTGGGTGGCAACCCTGCCCGTGGCAGGGGGATTGGAACCAGATGATCCTTAAGTTCCCTTCCAACCAAAGCCATTCTATGAACACTATTTCAGACATCTGAAGTCTTTTTGGTTACTGGATATCCCATCTGACAGTACCATCATATACTGTGAACTGTGTCTCCCTTTCCTTTTGCTTACAGTCTTACTCAAAACAAATGCAATCTGCCTTTTAATTTTCTAGCATCAGTGGAGAAAATTAGCTATAAAACCCATCCAGAAAACATTTGATTGGCTCAGCAAGGGAGGTGGGTATGAAGGTATATTCCCCTCCATTGCAGAGGAATAAAAGGGTTAAACATTTGCTTCCTCTTATGCTTTAAAAAAAATTAATTAACCAAAATAATTACTAATTTATTGCTTTTAATAAAATCTGAATATCAAGCTTACAACAGATATAACTTATTTTGTTGTGGCCTAACTTGTAGAGTTCAAAAAAATAGTTTATCTACAAAAATTGTTGTAAAAAAGTAGAACAGACATTCTCAGATGAATAGTTTTAAACCTCATCTTGAATGGCATTGTGCATTTGAAAGTGTTTCTTTTCATTAAACATTACTGAAAGGAATGAGCAACATCTTACAAATACTGAAAGATAACACTAAGTTTTTTAATAAGTTTGGCATTTTTGCTTTGAAATTGTTTGAACATTATTTTTATTAGCCCTTCAAATTACTACAAAATAGTTGACTATTGTTATTTTAGAGGTAATATGTTACCACTTTGATTCATTAACTAATCATTCACTGCAGTATTCCTCAACTGTTTTCTTCTGCTGAACTGTCAAGGGAAGTCAATAAGGAAGGACTTCAGGATTGTAAAAATTGAACAAATATATTAAATGTTATTATTTGGTAGCTATATACTGTTCAGACATGCTGCCTAACTGGAAGATATTTTTTAATTCTAGTAAAGTAGATCCCACAGTTGGTGACAGCCTTATGTGCTTCACTGATCTCAGCGTGTCTGTACATCTATCTCCCTCTAAATTTTTAGGTAATTTCTTTCTATTTCCATACAAGTATTACAGAAAATGTGATGATCTGATTAGTTGAGTTGTATCTTCTTAAAAGAATAATCTGAGAAAATTGCAAATTCTGGTAAATATCTTCCACCTTCTCCAGTAAAGTGGGGAGGAAAACCTCACTGCATCCTCCATTCTGCATCTCTGCCATTTATTTTTACGTTGTTATAGAATCATAGAATGATTTGGGTTGGAACAGATCTTAAAGCCCACCAAGTTGCAGCCCTCTGCAGGACTGCCACCCAGCAGCTCAGGCTGCCCAGGGCCCCATCCAACTTGGCCTTCGTTGCTGCCAGGGATGGAGCACCTACAGCTCCTCTGGGCAGGTGTGCCAGTGTCTCACCACCCTCTGAGTGAAAAACTTTCCCCTGACATCTAATCTGAATTTCCCTTCTTTTATCTTAAAACATTTTCCCCGTGTCCTATCACTGTCTACCTGTGTGAAAAGCTGCTTTCCTTCCTGTTTAAATATTGGAAGGCCACAATGAGCCTTCTCTGCTCCAGGCTGAACAAGCCAAACTCCCTCAGCCTGTCTTCGTAGGAATGGTGCTCCAGCCCTTTGATCATCCTCTTAGCCCTCCTCTGGACCTGCTCCTACGAGCTCCGTGTCTTTCTTATGCTGGGAGCTCCAGTCCTGAATGCACTACTCCAGATGGGACCTCACAAGAGCAGAGTAGAGGGGAACAGTCACCTCCCTTGACCTGCTGCCCACTCCTCTACCTGCTGGTTAGTTTAAATGATTTACATTCGAAAAAATTGTGACCCATGGAAATAAGAAAGTAATTCAGAAATTAGCAATTTAATCTGAACTTTGTGACATTTGATGTCTTGGTGGGCTATAGAGACTCAAATCAGTGTCCCCCCCAAGTCGCTGCAGCATGAGTTTATGTTTTTAAGTTCTGTTATCTTCTTGCAGGCACACACGATCGTGTTAACTCATAAACAGCCAAAGTTTTGTTTTATCTTTACCAGATGATTTCTGAAGATCTTTTTAGCATAAGAGATGCCTGCACATGTCATTGCTGGAAAGTTTTTGAGATACAGGAAAGACTATGGTGGATGAGTTTGTGTGGGATATTGTGCGAGTGGAGGGAAGAAGTTACTACTCTGGAAGGGACATCTGAAATGTAGTTTGCAGATGCAGGGAAGTCTTACTTCATTAGTTCTCTTGTTCACTGTTTGTTATTTTTTTCATGTTATAATTTTTGTTGCTGTGCTTGAGATGTCATGACAGGGATCCAGTTCTCAGAGCAAGGATGCTCATCTTCATGACAAATGCACACAAACAGAAAAAAAGTCTTCAGGTAACTCCTGAAAAAGAAACACTTCAATTAATAATTAATGCTCAGCAATTTTTTGGAGCATTTTTTACCATTTGGAAACATAGCCTGTACATGATATTCACAGTGATGCACAAGTTGAAAAAAATAAAGCTATTTATGGTTTGTAATATAGCTCAAAATCTCAAAATTTCAGAGTGACCAGAATTTTTTGGTTTTATTTTATTCATTCTGCTGAGAAAACCAAATTAGATTCCAGTGGTGGCATCTCGGACAACACTGTTCAAATTCTTATGCTCTTGCAAACAACTTTGCTTAACTTTATAAAAATGTCCTTTCTCTGGTGTTTGCACTTAGGCATGTGCTTACATCGAGCTAATTTCTGTCCCCTCTTTCTGTTGCTATGTAAATTTATTTGTGTGTCTTTTTTCATGAGTGGGTTTTTATTGTTCCTGCAGTTGTTGTGCTTTGCGCTGCTCAAGTGTAGGAGCTCTGTTGTGCAAAAGACTGTGAATACCTTTTATGTGTTGTTTACTTAATAAGGTGTTTATGCCTTTTAAAGAGAGAAATATATTTTTGTAGGTGCGTTATGAAAGCAGAGTAAGCAATCCTCACTACATATTTGTTGCCTAAGTCTATTACTATGAGAGGAATACTTTGTTAAGGGTTTCTGCTCTTGGGGAAGAAACTCAGCCTGTTTTAAGTTCATGTATTCCCTGGATGCAGGTATCCAGGTAACCATTCTTTCAGATCTGTGGGGGCACAGGTGGGAGGCAGTGAGCTTGGTTCTGCGTTCGATGAGCAAAATAGTCCCTAGCTACAGTTAAAATAAACCTGAAGATAAACATTTAACAAATCCCTCTCCGCCTTTTAACAAGAATTAATACCTTTAATCTCAGGTTTACCATCAAGGTTGCATAATATAACACCCTCTGTCAAATTATATTTTATATTAAACACTTCAAACAAATGAGGCTGGTGAGAGAGTGAGACAGCACAGCTATTTTTGGGTTTTCATTATAGAATTATGAAGATGAGTTTCTTGGAAACATCTTTTAAAAAGTGATTTTCAGTGACAGATAGCAAACTTGCTTTCCTTCCTCTTATTTGTTACTCATTTCAGTTTCCAAAACAACCCATCACAGATACGACTGAAATAATGATTCAGAAGATACCTCGTAGTGTGCAAAGCTTATTGCAGAAATTTATTACTCGTTACCAAACAGGTTGCATAAATATCACAGTTCAGCCAGGGATACGCAGCTGTTTAAGAGCAGACTTTATGCTGTCTGATGTTAGTACTTTTCGCAAGCCTTAGAGTCAGATGAATTGTGTGTATATTTCATTATATTTTGGAGAATAGTTTACAGTATTTCAGAAATGCTTTAAAAATATCCAAGGAGCACAATTTTTTTTAAAGGAAAAAAAAAAAAAAGAAGCCAATCAGAGTAAATTAGAACCCGGATGATGTTGTTATTATTGTTGTTATGGGGATTCTTTGGTTAAGAACTGGAAAAACATAGTTGAGTGCTCAGACATTCCTGAAGCTGATCATCTTTGGCTACCTATACGTACTTCTTATAATATGTAGCATCCATTTTGAAATATTGTACTTGAGCGACCTTGAATAAAAATTTTGAACAGTTTCCTAGCTCAGAAAAATTGCTTTCTTTTTAAATTGTGATCTTCTGAATTGATCCGTGTGCTTTAAAAGGCACTTCTCAAGATTGTACTGCTAGTAGATAACATCTTTTTGAAGTTCATAGTATACTTCTGGATAGTCTAAACTATACCAGATTGTGCAAGTGCAGGAGAGAGGCTTATTGCTATCAGTGCCAGGACAGAAGCCATGGGCACAAACTGGAGCACAGGAGGTTCCCTCTGAACACCAGGAGCCCTTCTGTGCTGTGCAGTGATGGAGCACTGGCAAAGGCTGCCCAGAGGCTGTGGGGTCTCCTCCTTGGGGATCTCCCAGAGCTGCCTGGACGTGGCCCTGGGCACCCTGCTCTGGGTGTCCTTGCTGGGGCAGGAATGGAGCAGAGGGACCCAGAGGGCCCTGCCAACCTCAGTTATGTTGTGATTCTTGTAATACTGGCAGACCGTTAATTCAGCAAGCCTTCATTCATAGTGTGCATGTCTCAACATGAGTCAACAAGGTTCTATGGATACTGACAATATTTTGACATATGAACAAGATGTGTATTTTCCTCTGGCTAGTAAAATATGGTCATAAAGTCTTCATAGACATATCATATGCAGAATCCAACTAACCTGGCAAATAAAATGTTTGTTGAAATGTATTCTGGCTTTATCTCCAAAGTACATTTGGAGAATATAGCATTTTGTTCATGCCAGGTGTTGGACTGGTTGCTGGAGACTCAGGTTTTCTATTTAAACCTGGTTGAAGCAGATTTTTTACTTGACCAGTGACCTTCCTAGAGAACAGTGTTAGTACAAAATTTGCCCTTCATACAGATTTTTTGGAATGGAGAGAGTGAAATTTTTTATTGCTTGTTAAAGCATAGTGTTTTGAATTAGCCTATAAAATCAATTCACTTGCTGATTACTTTTGGAAGGAGTTAGTGATTCAATGGAAGGGAAATAGTCTTAGGGCTATGCTTGGTTAATGGGATTATTATGGGTTCCTCAGATATTGATTTTGAGATTAGATCCTAAAAATGTCAGGGATGGGAAATTAATACACGGATGTGTACCGAGATTTGTGAACTTAGGGAAAGCAGTTATCGCTATTTTAATAAAGATGTTAAAATCTTACATTATGGCTTATTTTCCCGTAATTGTTGTTTATATTTCTACTTACAGGATAGAAGTATAAAAGTATACTTCTATGGTGTGCATAAGAAGCAGCTAAATTAGCCAGGGTGCCATTTAGTGTTATCTTTAGTGTTACCAGATGGATCTCTGATTCTGTCATATGCTTTGTACCATGCATCAGTTTGGTTGCTCTGAACTGTTCTTTGTCTCTAGCTTAGATTTATCCAGCTGTCCTTTGTACATCTTCTTTTTTTTTGTTGTTTTAATATTTTTTTTTCCATGTGAAATTCTTATTTTATTCTTTTCTATCTTCATATTTTTTCATTATTCTTTCTCAGTCCCTCATGCTTTCTCTTTGTCTCAGTCTTTGACATCTGTTGTATTCATCAGAGATTTCCATCTAGTATCATATGAAATGTTTGTCTGTAGGAGTTCATAGCAGACATGCTGGGAATAGATTTCAATCATACTCCCTTTGCCACTGTGCTTGTGTCTAAAATTGCTCAAATGCAATCGGAATGGAAAGCAAAACTCTTCGGTGCTTCTTATATTGGGTGCATCTACACATTCCCTGTTATTATCTGGTTAAACTTTTTCAATCTGGAAATAGACAAGAAAGCATTAAATTTCAGAATCTTTCATTGGGCAGTAATTGTGAATAATAGTTATGAAGTGAATTTAGTTAATTTCCCTGAGCCCACAGCATTGACTGAGAAGCTGCACAAAATTAGCAACACCAGAGCTTAGTTTTATGTTTTGGATAAACATTAGGCACATATAAACAGTAAGAATTCACAAATAATTAATGAAATGAAATATAGAAAAGAAATAACTTCCTATCCCAAATGCTCCAATGTATCCACAAGTGAAAGTCTGTGCTTTTATTCTGTTTTTATAGAAGACCGTTTTCAGTCTGGGAATATAATTACAAACATTTCTAATTTTATCACATAGTTAAAATCTGATTATTGATAGCATTGTTTTGTCCTTATCTCCCACACCTGGTTTTAACAGATTGTTGTTCTCTTCAGGTCAGACTAAAACGACGTACTGGTAATGGAATTACACTGGTGCATAACCAGAATAATCTCAAGGAATAGCTGACCTTTGGTTTCTAAGTATTTTAATATGATTGTAAACATGTACAACCACTTCTATACAGTGTCTTCTGTATAAATAGCCATGCCATAATTGTCATACTTGAAAAGTGTTATACAACATCAAAAAGAAAACATGCTGATTATTATCATGTACTGGGTATACACCAAAATGTTGACAAGATTTTACACTTTATTCTGTTGAAACAAGAGACTAGAATAGCTTTTATTATTATTGATATTATTACTTCTTTTTTAGTCCCTGTAACAGTTACAAGATAAAAGTCCAACTTATCAATATGTGAATACAATCAGCTGCCATTCTTTGTAGAATCATATCATGGCCTGGGTTGAAAAGGACCACAACGATCATGTAGTTTCAATCCCCCTGCTAGGACCACCAGACCAGGCTGCCCAGAACCACATCCAGCCTGGCCTTGGATGCCTCCAGGGATGGGGCATCCACAGCCTCCTTGGGCAACCTGTTCCAGTCTTACTGATTATTATTGAAATAAATACTATTTTGGAAAGCATCTGTGGATTCTTTTTCAGCGGGATTTCATGAGATATTTGATGTTTATTTCTCTCCCAATATTGCTTTTTACTTTTGAAAAGTGTGCAGTTCGTGCAGCTACAGAAGGACGAATCCTTGTGTTGGAAGGTTTGGAGAAGGCTGAGCGCAATGTCTTGCCTGTGTTAAACAATTTGCTGGAGAACAGGGAAATGCAACTTGAAGATGGACGTTTTCTCATGTCCGCAGAACGTTACGACAAACTTCTGCAGGTAGGGAAATACCATTTGGATTTTCCATTCTTTTTTTCCTGCTCTCGGTAGTGCTTGAATACTGTTATGAAGAGGATAGTAGTTAGAAGCCAAATGCTTGGAATCGAACGCAGTGTGTATGTGAGATGTTACACAGGTTGAAATTTTAGGGTGGAAGTTAGCTGAGATGCATAACATTCCACTTCTGGTTTCAATTAAAACATTGTTTGAACCTATATCCCCTCTGCCCCCATTAAAAAAAAACAAAACAGTTGTTCATGCCAGCTTTTTATGCTGTAAAATGTATGTAAAATGTGGAAGCTGTTGAGGTTAAACAAAATATATTTGTGAAAAGAGATTACAGTTGAAAGAGTCCCCGTGAAGTTCAGATAGTGCTTCAGCATTGTTGTAGTCCTGTTGATAAGCTTTTAAAATGTTAGGGTACCAAACAAAGAGGTCAAGATTAGCGACACAGTATTTCTCAGTGCTGTCTCACCTTTAATTTAGTAAAATATGTGTGAGGAGCCAATCCAAATGATAAGAAATGAGTAGTGAGTTTACTTTTGGTAGGCAGTGGGATTATATTGTCTGCTACTGTTACTACTTCAGCCATTTTCATGTTCTTCAAGGTTTGAATCCCACTGCTTACATTTGAGTTGGATGCTCTTCCGCCTTTTGGGGACCTTAGTAAATTTAATCAGTTTCCACCAGTACTCTGTTTCATACTTTCGTGTGCTGTAGTGTCCACTCATATACCTGTTGGTCTCTTGTCTGATCTCACTCATGTTTCTATCATACCTAACTGTTGATAAGTATATGATTTGGACCTATATGAAAGAAGGAAATGTGCAGTGAGCCTTCTAGTTGATCCCAATTAAAGGAGCTCGCCTCCTATGTTGTTAATACCATAGCAGATTTCTGAAAATATATTGATATTTCTTCAGTTTCTTATCTCTGGTTTGAAATCTTCTGATTTGTGCCTTTTCCAAAAACCTTTTTATGGTATTTAATTAGAAGATAAAATTGTTGGGAGAATTATTACCGAATTTGAAAAATAAGCTTTTAAATTGTGATTGTATTTAAAAACTGAAAATGACAATTCAGACTCGGACAAGATTTGGTTGCAAAGTAAAGCATCTTCTCTTTTCTTTTTTCCTTTTTTAAGAATATTCTAATGATAAAATGCTTCAGAATGAGTGCCTCAGGTGCACTGTTAATAGTTGATGAATTAAATAAATCTCTTGTTATAATACTAAATCTAATATTGTAGTTTGGCAGATATTACATTATATAAGCTAATGTTCATTTTCTCTTCTTCAGTGTGAATAATTATATACTATATAACTAGGTCAAGGAAGACAAAACTGTGATGTGTGAAGATTTAACAGTGTATTGCTTTGTATGCATTGAATCTTTTACAGGACAGCAACTGAAATACACGACATAGATGTTCTTGTGAACGAGTCCAGTGATACTTCTGTTTTGGTATTGCTTGTAATAATGCATATTTTATAAATGAAAATTTTAAAGCAATAATGGTCTCCTTTACAGCTACAAGAAGAAGGGAAAAGAAAAAAAAAATGTACTCACAGTACCATACTTCTAGTGCTTCAGGTTAAAATAAATTTTGTCATCTGTTTATTTTCTGTTCTTTTTGAAAGCAAGGTTCTGAACATGTGGTTCTGAACCATGACCGTCTGTGGGGTCTCTAATCAAATTGCCTGACAGCTGTACATAATCAAATGTTCTGTCTCCATTTGTTTTGGAAAACCTTGCTTTTATGATCAGCAAATTAGAATAGTTCAATGCTTTTTAGCATTTCTGAATGAAAGATGGGAACAATACCATATTTATAGCTTGACAAACAAGGATTGTTTGTCTGTCTGCTGCTGCTTAGTCTGGAGGAGTATTTAGTGATGTAATTATTTTTTTTTCTGCTTTATTTTGGTTAATTTAGGATCATACAAAATCAGAGTTGGATGCATGGAGGATTGTTCGAGTTAGTGAAGATTTTCGTGTAATAGCATTGGGTTTGCCAGTACCTAAATATTCTGGTAACCCCTTGGATCCTCCCCTTCGCTCTAGATTTCAAGCTAGGGATATTTATCATCTGCCTTTTAAGGTAAGCACTTTAAGAGAAGAGTTGGACTATCTGTACTGAGTAGAAGCTATTATTTTGACATAGTTTTACTTAGCTCACCTCTGAAATCAATACCTAAACAATACATTTATCTTAAATGGCATTTTTTCATACTGCTCCCTAATAAGTT